ACGCGTCCTCGAGAGGACGGAGCATTGTTCCCACAGGACGGATCACCGATGGGGGGGAGGGGGGGGTTCGAAAATTGGAGGATGTGCGGATTTCGAACAGCGAATGGTGGTGGCTATGTCCGAAAGACGGAAAACATGTCGATGAACCCATTGACGAGGAGGGTGAACGCTGGCGCCCCGCTTGAGGAAAGCTTGTGGTGGTGGTGGTGGTGGTGGTGGTGGTGGGACATGAAAGGAGTGCATCGTGCGTGTGCGAAAAGCATTGGGGATGTGTCAAGGGCCGTCGGAGGTAGCGCAACAGCCACGTACGCTGCTTGGATGGGATCCGATTGGACGCCACAAAAACGACACAGTCTCGGGACAACGAGGGTGGAGTTCAACTAAACTCTTCTCTGGAGCTGGAAAGAACACGCAGTCAGAGCCCCGAATACAACTAACCTACGCATTTGATATTCAATAGACTCGTTCACGTACACCAGAATGGCCGACGCTAACCAGCGGGTGGCGATACATGATTCCACAGGCGCTTCTACCCGAAACCAAGGCCAAGGAAACCCCGAGCGGAAGGAGAAGGAGAACGATAAATGGTCAAGCCGGCGCATGGGAAGGACGTAGATTGGACGCCACCTCGTGCGAAAAAGACTTGGTATTAAACGCGGCAGGAAAAAAAATTCCGTAGATAACATCTGCCTGTTTACGCACGCACCTCGACGATCTCTCGCATGGACTCCGACCCCTTCCTCCTCCTCGACCAACCGCCTCCCGCCTCCCCCTCTGACGCCACCGCTCCTTCTCGCTCGCTCCGCTCTCGGCAGGGGAAGGCTCCCGCGTACCCTCTCCTCGCCTCCCTCCGCCCACGCCCGCTACCATCCCCCCCCGCTTTGTTTCCCCGACGACCTCGGGAGCGGGGGTGTTGCCACTCGCTCCTGGGCCCGAGGTCACCACCTGCGCCCTGAGCCGGTACCAATCTCCCCGCGAGGGCGAGGAGGGCAACAGCGAGGCGCAACGCCCTGATGGTGGTTGTGGTTGAGAAAACCGGACACCGCCGCCACCCCCAACCGCGGGTGTTGGAGTGGCGTTGTCTCGTCATCGGCACCTTGGTCGTAGCAGCGGCGGCGCCGTCGGTGGGGGCGGAGGGCAATGAGTGCTGCGCGCCATCCTTGGCTCGCCTAATAGAAGGCGCTTGTGTTGCCATCGGTGACGGCGTCAGCTGTAGTAGCTGGCGCCGTTTGACGTTGCACCGACATGCATCGTCGAACCTTCTCCTTTGGTTGGTGCTGCCGTATTCGACCATCACCGCTGAATCAACCTGGCAGGCCGCCGAAGGAGGGGACCTAAGCGGCGGGTTAGTTGCCGTGTGATGAGATGAGAGCACCGGTGACACCACTGCTCTCGTTGCCGCCGGGTAGGGTCGACAGCTTCGCCTTTCGTCGTCCCTGTACCCAAAGGTCGCGTTGCACGAAGCACAAGAACAAACGTGCTGACTCGCACTCGCAGTGATCGAAGCGGGTTGTTTGTTTTGACACAAAATACCTACAGCAGCCGTTGTCGCAGGGCAGGTGTAGGGAAAGAGGTACAGCAGTAGAGCAGCAGTTGGCGGCAGCGGTGCTACAAAACACCCGAATGCTTCCAGTAAAAATAAATAGTCACCTGCACGTATCACGCGGGACATTCGACGTACCCCACGTTTGATGCGGGCTATCCCTCTTTGAATATCCAATGGCGAGGTGCGTTGGGGTTACCAATTCCTTCAGCCGCTACATACGTATACATGTATTGCTCTGGTCGTGTGTAAGACAAACTTTGTAGAACGGGGCAAGCTAATCCGAATGCCTGGTCGGATGCGCATGATCCGGCAATTGACAAACCCACCCGCTCTTCCACGCGGAGAAAACACTGCCATCCATGGAGAAAACACCACACCAGCCCCCCCTCTGCAAACATCGCTTTGTTCCTATAGTCAAGACATTCTCGATGCGCGACGGTCTACAAATTCAAACTCCTGGTTCAAACGTTGAAAGTTCAACCAGGTAGAATCTGCCGTTGCAACATTTCATCATAATTGGGAGTTCACCTTTGAGTGTTGCGGCCGCGCACAGAAAGAGCAATATCAACGTGCTGGGGGTAGCAATAATGTCCTTCAAGCACCCCTGCCCTACACCGACCACCGCTCTCGCTGGCTGTGTCTGTCTCTGTTGTTGCAATGGCCCATCATGCATCATGCTGCGTTTAGAACTGCGGTGGAAAGAATACCCCTCGGCCTTCCAGTTCATGTATGTTTGCGGAGCCCCCAGTTTGATCACTCACGCACAGCTCAGCTCTGAGCTGTGGGTTGCCGTTGTGTTGTTGTGCGCGCAACGCACCAGCACAACCAACCCATGGCTAAAGGCACAGCCTGCGTGGGCAGCGGGTGTGGGGGGTTTCTGGTGCACGTTGTTCTGTCGTTGTTGTTCTTGGTGTGGCTGCTGCTGGCGCTGGTGGTTCAGCTCGTAACGGTGAGCTAAAATGTACAACATCACCTGGATTTGTAGCGTCCGCGTATGTATGAGTGAGGGTAGCAGCAACCGCCGACACACAATTGCTTTGTGTCCATGGAGAACGTACACACAAACACGCGTAGATACCCTGGCAGTGTGACATCTCTCTCTTGGGTGCACTAGAGCCATACAGGGAGGGGGAGAGCACGTTAGTTGTGGAAGTGCTCTGCGGGTGCCGGCAGAGTTCGTGCGACGGGTTGTTCACGGAACACCGCTGTAACTGCTCGCGTCTGTAGACAGAGATGGGTCCAATGCTTGCCTCCGGCTGTATGGGATGATGCCCGACCATCTCTGCGTCGTGCCCTGTTGTTGTGGTTGGACACGACCCTTGTCGTACGTAGTCCGATGTCCTTTTCGTCATGGCGACACGATCAAAATCCATTCTCCGCTGTGTATGTAGTCTATGCAACTTCATTTTTTTTTTTTTATGATCGACGTTTTTTCACAACCGTCGTGTTCCACGGCTCTTGGACCACTTCGTGAACACAACACGATGTACTCCGTTCTTGGAATGTGCACTTGCCTCTTTGCCTCCATACTCTATATGTACCAGATACTGCTGTACTTCGAAGATCAGAAGCTCCGAGGTTTTCCCCTCATTCCATGCCCGATAGAACGCTTATTCGTACGTACACTCGCAGGTGGGATTTGCTGAAAGCCTCCGCGTTGGAAGCCAAGCCTTGTATATGTAGCGTAGTGTAGAGTAGGGAAACTTCGATCTGTGCTGTATGGTATGGGCAACCCGGGTCGTGGGTTGTTGTTCAATTGAGATTTGAGAGGCACCAACAGCTTGATGTAGAAAAGTTGCGAAGTTGCACGAACGATGTGAAAGAGCCTTTGACACCCTCCTTCTACCACCTCTGGTACTCCTCCGTATAGCAGGAGCAAGCGCATTGTATTCGATATCGGTAGTGGATTTACATTTAAACCGCCTTCCCGCGGGTTCATGGGTCCTCCTCAGCAGCAAATAAACAGTAGTCTACGCAGCAAAATTGATCAAGCAAACATATGGGATAAAGAATTAAGGAATAATAAAAACACACACAGAAAGACTACCCATTCGAGATATACCCACAGTCGAACGGGATGTGGTGGAGTCTTTTCAGTGAGTGGAGGGAAACCGGCTGGGTACTGGACTTATTTGAAATACTTATTTCGAGTCTTTTTAAGTCTATACACTGATGATTTACTGATAAAGAATTCAATCCGTGCTTTAGGGTTAGGGTTAGGGATAGGGCCTGCGTGCCCCCTCCCTATTCTTTTTTCTAGATACTCTTGACATCCTGCGTAGGCGGTCCCAAATAAATGCGCGTGGTTGCGCGTGTACTCTCGTGTGTGTATGCCCTTTCGGGGACATGCAGACTTTGCCCGGGGGAAAACAAATGTGTACGCCTTGTGCCGGAGTAGAGAGTATAGATAACGCCACAGATGTTTGACCCTCCTGCAGGTATTGATGTCGGCGCTTGCGCGGCTCAGGAACCACCCACATCGATAATAGTTGTTGCGGACGTCCGACCGGCAGTGACGTACACAGTCGACTAAACATTACTGCTGTCCCATGGTATTTTCACTATCTGCTGCTGCCTGCAGACGTAGTGCACCATACCGCCGCTTGTATTTGGATTAGGGTTGGGTTTCGGAAGTTCGGAACCGCACCATCTACGTAGATAATTTGTTGGTACGGACGTCCGACCGGCGGAATAATAACTCGCAGTATTTTCCATGCGTTCGTACCAAACCGGTGCTGTGCGTGTATCCGCTTGTCACCCCAGACGGTCTGCTCCGTGCCCATACAACTTGTAGCCCGCCGCACGGGACCAGACCGTTCTCCGCCGAGCCACCTCCGCTGCCAAGTCTGCCACTGACGGGTGTCGGCCATTTCCGCCTCCTTGTACAGTAGTACCCCGGCTATCCTTCTTGGCC